GGTGCCAAAATATCATATCACTCAGCATGATTCTACACATGCTGGCCCATTCTAGGCTATGGGAATACTCCTTATATTAGTTCCCCAGACATGTGGGTGAGGGAGCCAGACTGACTCCCTTTACCCTACAGGTGGGAATATGATAGACTAGAATTTGATTACCTCTAATATCAGATGATGTCTCCTTTCTGTAGATACTTCATTTGTATATCATGGGGTAAATATAGATAAATATAGATTTATATATATAAATTATGTTTATTATAAGTTATATCTTCAGGAAAAATTCCTATAAGTAGAATTTGTGTCAATGGATACAGCATTGTTTTTATTTTCAAATATGAGTTTGGTTGTGACTATTTTTGTTGTAATTTCTGAGGATTTTACATCAAAATTCTGATGACTTTTTACAAGTAATAAGTAAGTAGCATAAATTATCATAGGCTTAATACTTATATGGCATGAAAATCATTTCTTTCATAGGAATTTGAATTCTTCATGCATGTAAATAAATAAGCCAAGCATTGTTTAGAATTATTTTTCCATCAAATCTTTTTTTTTTAATATTTTATTTATTTATTTTTAGAGAGGGAAGGGAGGGAGGATGAGAGAGAGAGAGAGAGAAACATCAATGTGTGGTTGCTGGGGGTTATGGCCTGCAACCCAGGAATGTACCCTGGCTGGGAATCGAACCTGGGACACTTTGGTTCCCAGCCCATGCTCAATCCACTGAGCTACGCCAGCCAGGGCCATCAAATCTTTTTTATTCAGCTATTTTTATTTTAATTCAATCTTGGCAATTTATATTTTGACATAAACTCTTTGGCATAATTACACAATGGAATATCTAATATTATCAGCCTCTCAATTTCCTCGTATTCCTGTTTGAATTTTTACATTTGCATATCTGTGTTATCTTTCTTGATTTTTTAAACTATGATTCCAGAAAACTATCTATCTTATGATCTCTATAGAAATGAATGTGGCCTTCTTAATTGTAGCACTTTTCTCTTAATATGAGTTGTAGTCAGTGTAATTTTGTGTTCAGTATTCATTCAAAATGTAAGTATTGGACACTGCACATATGCTGGAAAAGGTAATCATTCTTTTTAAAAAAGATCACTTATATTTAATATTTACAACTATAGTAATGTAATCAGTAGTATATTAGACTAATATAGCTTATTTTAAATTTGAAATATGAATTAAGAAAGAGTAGAAAAACTTAAAATGTATAGAAGTTTTTAATCATCAAAATTTAATTATAGAGCTTATTAAACTCTGATATTTATGCAGACCAATTCTTATAAAATATATCTTTACTCTTATCAATTTTTAAAATAGCCTGATTCACTATTTTAAATTAAAAATGAATTAATAAATTGATAAAAACTAAAGACAAAAATAAATAAATATTAGTTTTTGTACTTTCTCCCACTTTCTGTTATTATTTTCTCAAATATAAATTGTATGCCATGTTTTGATGTTTACAAAGTGGTAAGGTGATAATTCTGACTTTATTGCTTACTTTGAATAAAATATTTTAATCTACTGTTATTTTAAATAATCCTTTCTGTGAGAGGCCGCTCTGCATGGGGTGGGCCCAGCTCCCACTGGGAGATGCACAGGACCCACGCCCACAGATAGGTTCTCCTGTGGGGAATCAGTCCTTCAATGTATTTAGGCCACTGTGAGTTTTGCTTTTTGCTAAAACTCCCTCACCCTGAATTGAGAACATTTACTGCGAAGCAACTTCCTAAAAACCATGCTAAACCTTCCAAGATTGAGTGTAACTGGTTCAACTACTTTTGCCTTTTCATTGCAAATATCCCTCTTCTGTGATGTGATTACCAGCATCCTCTCCTCTGTTTTCTGTATAAGGTAACCACCTAAAGGGAGCCTGGCATCGTTAAATAAGAATCTTCTTGTAATGTGCCCAGTAAAACAATATAAGCTCATTGGAGCGAGGGCCAAGGCTTTTGCTCCCCTTGAGAAAAAAGCCATGCCGTTCCTTTTCCTCTACAAGACTAGGTTGTCTGTGTGAATCTGTCTCATATATCATCCATAATGACAGGGACCCCATGAGCCGGGGTCCAAATCACCTTTCTTAACTTATTTGACTCCATTCAAATTTTTGTTAGCCACCAAATCACCTTTTTTAGGTATTATTTTACTATATTATTATCTGTATTGTATTGTATAAAAATCATATATGTATAACTCATTGGGTCAAATATTGATGTTATTTAAAATGTTTCTCTTGCTCTAGGTATTTTTTCCCACATAAATGTCTCATTTTTACTATTGTAAGTGAAAATTACAAAGGAAAAACCTTCTAATAGAACTTCTCAAAGGATCCATATTGTTCTAGAATTTGCTTTTTTCCTCCTTTGTTTTGTTTTCTCTGGTTTAAATTCTTCAGTGGCAAGAATTCCATTTAAGCCTTCTCTACCTGATTGCAGTTGAGTTGATAGGATGCCATTTGTCTTGTGGATGGGTTTCAGGAGCTTATTTTAGATTTCAAGCTATGAGTAGGACTGGATACCTGGAGGGTTGATAGCCTATGACTCAACAGGAAGATTTTTTAATGATAGTTTCCTTTACCTTTGGGTTAAACCTTCCTGGGCCAGGTGTCACAGATGGTGTTTTGGGACTTCCTCCTTAGTATGTAGAGAAAATGCTAACACTTTGGCCCAATTTTTCATGATCAGAAAAGCATGCTTTGTTTAGAAATGTCATTCTCAGAATTGTTGTTGTCTAATCTCATCCAACAACCTGTTGATCTGATCTCATTAATGACTGAATATTAGTTGTTAATTTAATTCATAGCTCTACCCTCCCCCTTCTTTGGAAACCGTACTCCAGAATAATATAAATACATGTTCCATGTATGTCCTTAACTAGTTTAATCCAATTCAATTCATTCCTACTCAAAAGGAACACTGAGATATGGTAGCCACATCTCACCAGTGTTTGATATTCTAGTGCTTCCTTCTTCCTCCCATTCTTACCACAAGAAAGAAAGGGTAGGAATGCACCTTTTATATGAAAGCGGTATTTGGAATGAATTCCAGATCACTGGTTAGGCCCTCAGAATGGGAGAAGTTAGGCAAACATATCTTAGCAGATTTCATCAATAGCTATTCTAGTAGCTAGAGTACAATACATTTGAAGTCAAACTGTATTTAATTTTAATACCAGCTATAAAACAAGTGATGTGACCAAAGCAACTAACTTAACTTCTCAGGGCATGTTTCTTCATTTATAACATAGTGGTAATGATATATTTCACATGGGGTTTATAAGGATTGAATGAAACAAATAATAAATTGTGTAACAGTAATTAATCTAGTGGCTGGCATACAGTAGGTGCTGAAAACAATGAATGTTATTACTGATATAAATGAAGGAATGACTCAATTCTATAAGCTGAAAGTTCAAAGCTGTGCCTTGAATCAGGAAAGGTCATTTACAAAAATGTTTTACTGATGCTATTCAGTTGAACTATGTGAACATGACCTTTGGTTTCTTCTTCTTATGAAATTATCTCTTTGTTCTTATGAGAAATTTAAAGTAAGAAATATATAGTATAATTCATTTTATTATTAAGTCAACTTGTAACAACATAGTCTTAACAAATATGATTTTTGCTCTTTATTCTCCAGTGTTTACTTTAGAACTGTCACTTAGTTTAGAACTCTGTTTGGTTACTGAATGTGATTTAAAGTACTGGAATATTTTTCACAAATTAATGAGAGTGAGGGCAAAGGGAGTCATGACAGCGGTATGTGTTCTTCAGCACCTTACTGACTGCAGCTAATGAACAGGAATCCAATCTGTTTCTTGTCTATCAGACTAGGAATGCCTGGGACACTCGCCCGTGCCCCACTGCTTGTGGTGAGTCTCCACAGACATTTCTCCAGCTGGAGCCAGTGTTGTGGCTGGGCTGGCCCTTGAGCTTCTTATTCTGATTGTGAGACACAGCAACAACTGTAAAGGAACTTGAAAATGCAAGGATTCTTACTCACAGGTCCTGGAGAATAAACAGTAGCTCCGAGGGTCAGGTAGCAAGGTAGCAGATAGAGAGAAAGAGAGTGAGAGAACACAGACCTGGGACTCTGCTTGTATTAGAGTTGAGGGTAATCTATGTAAGGTTTTGAAAGTTTACTCTTTATTAGTAAATTTAAAACATAAGGGCAGAATTAGAGAGTAGGAAGAAAATAGCAGAATCATTCAAGTGGTCTGTTATCCAGGTTGTCCAGGGCTTTCTAAAAGAGAAACATCATGAGTAGGGGAGGCTTGGGTGCTTATCTATCTGTGTAGCTAGTAGGTGTCATATAGCTGCCTGTATGTGTTTTTGATCAGAATGGATGTCTTTGAAATGGATGCCTCAGCAATCAACAGCCTAATGTCAGGCAGTTATAATAAAGAAAACCTTACAGTCAGGAACATACACTACAACAGTGCTTTATTAAAAAACATAAAATTAACAACAAACAAAACTTCATAATAGGCCTAAACATGGCCATACTGTTGTGTTCCACTCTAACTCATCGCGCTAAAGTTCCTGTGTGCCGTCAGTTTCTGATTGTGTGTCATCCGTAGCTAAGAGCACCAATAACGACTAAAAATCTCATTCGCAATCTTTTTCTTTACATTTCAATGATGGTTTCCTTTATTCCAGAGGTTTCCTATGACCTATATTTTATTGTTACCATCCAGTTAGACCAAAGTTGATTTACTCTTATGTTCTCAAAAGACAATATTAACACCATCAATGAAAATGTATTTCACTCTAATTCCCTTTAAATAGACAAATCTTTTCTCCCTTGCTAAGAGCACAAGTATGCACAGACAAAATTAATGGTTGAATATATCATGTAATAATATATGTTGAATGTAATTTAAACAAAGCATTATTATTTTTGGCAAACTGTTAATAGGCTTTAGTGAAAATATTTAATTTGCAACTTTTCTTATTTACACTGATGTATTTACAGTTGTATGCCAAGATTTACTGGAAAGAACTGTGAGAAAGTAATTGACCACTGTAGACTGCTCAGCATCAACTGTCTGAATGAAGGATGGTGTTTCAATATAATTGGAAGATTCAGAGTAAGTAATTTAATACATGGCAAAGTAATTTAGCATGTCAGAACACAATAGCTTCAGGCACTCTGTACTTTGAATGCTTATATCATTCTAAGCCAGAGAAATATATCCTTATATGGATATTATAAACATCATATATATGTAATTTAGTAATAGAGATTTTTAACTAATTAGAATTATGTTGGGAGAGTATTAATAAATGTTCTAGGCAGTGTTTTATTTTATAATATGAATATAGCTAATTGAGTACTAGTGATATATTTCTTTTTATGTAAGACCACAGTAACTATGCCTTAAGCTCTTAAACTAGATGGAGCATAAAATTAGTCTGGTAGTTGTTAGTCAGAATATAAAAATATGCTTTTTCAACTGGATGTTTTTTGAAATAATTTGACAAATACAGCATATATACTACACACAGTAGGGCATGCCCTATAACTTAGTGATTCAATTTTTAGCTATGTCTGTTGGAGAAATTATCATTTATGATTATGACCTTATTTGATCTGCACATAAATCCCATTCCATTTTACAGAAAAATAAAATGATTACTGAGCTTTTGAAATATTTTCTCCAGCTTACACATATCAATAGTAATAAACAAGCCCAGATTTAAACTTATTCTGTATGACCCCAAACATATACTTTCAAGTACTACACATATCTATTTGCAATAAAAAGTATATGCCACCATTTTTTCCCTTTAAATTTTATCTATCCTTAATACGAAATGTCCTCATTGAAATGTCTCTCATAACTTTGGTTTGAAATTATTTTATATTACTTTGTTTATGTTTTTGTTTTTAGTTTTCTTCCATTTCAGGATGGTCTCTGGGTGTTTATCTCTGATTTTATATTCAAGTTTTTATTCTTCAGCCACACTTTTCCCTGGGAGATATCAACTACTGACTCAACAATGTATAGACTCTATAACCAATCTGAATTTCTATTTTAAGGAGTTTGAGTGGAGTTTTCATCACCTTGCAGACTTTTTTAAAAATTATAATTTAAGTTTACTAACTCCTATAGATAAAATATTAGCAAAAAAGTAATGCTATCAGACTTCTCATTTGGTTATAATTTAGGTGATCATAATGATAATGTACATTAATAAATGTTTTTAACATTATAATATTTTTTCAAAAGTACAATTTTTCCTATTAACTAATAATCACAATTTACATGTATTGAGTAATACATAAAGTTTATATTTAAGTTATTGCATATTTAAAAATATATTTTTCAAATTATATGATGGTTGCACATGACAGAAATTATTCTTCATGATACTTAAGTGATGTAACATTAAATAAAATAAAATGTTATATATTAAATTTATTTTAACATGCAAATATAAAATGAATTTTCATAGGTAATAATATTTTTATAATTCTATAACCAATATTTGCTTTTCTAATTTGATGTTTGTATTATTAACTTTTGAATATGTCAACTAATTTCAAAGAGACTATTTGATGAGCTATAATATTTTAGGAAGAGATATAAACTATTCATTCTCTTATTTAGATAAATATATTTTACATTCAGAGAAAAAGAGAATAGAGAGGGCATAATACAAGCAAATAGTCATAAAATGCACTTAAATCCAGCTATATCCAAGATCATAGTAAATATAAATTGATTACACATATCAGTTAAAAGACAGAGACTGTTAATGGCACATAAAGCAAGACTTAATCAAATGTTGTTTAAAAGGGATTCATTTTTTCAATGACTGGTATGAATCAGTTGGTTGGACATTGTCTAGCAAAGTGAAGGGTTGCCAGTTCAAATCCTGGTCAGGGCATGTGTCTGGGTTGCAGACTTGGTCCCAGATAAGGGCATGTAGGAGAGGCAGATGATTGATGTTTCTCTCTCACATTAATGTTTCCTTGCCTCTCTTTTTTCCTTCCTTTTCCTCTCTCTATGAGTATATAAAATATTTTAGAAAAAGAGACTCATGTTATATAAAAAGATACAGACATAATGAAAGTAAAATCATGGGAAAGATATCTCATAAAAATTAAATAAAATGAACACTGGTATAGCTTTATTAATAAGGAAAACATCAACATAAGGAAATGACAAGGAGGAATAATTTTATTTCATAAACATAACTGGATCAACTGATCAAATGAAATTATACATCTAATAATAGAACTACACAATACACATAACACAAACTGACATCCATCACTATAATCATTCAGGGCTTTCTAATTTTTAATTGGTATAACATGCCCCTAGTATATTTACAATAACTTTATGGAAACAATAAAGTATATGAAGTCTGTGACCTATGTGGTCCAGGCACAAATCAATATACAGAGGAACAGAGAAGCAGGGTACCAGAGACAATCATGGGGAAGAATGGTTCTGGAAATCCCAGAGAAACTCTGAGTCAAAGTCAAAGCTAACTTAACCCCAAGGTTAATCAGAGTTTGATGGCCCGGATAATATTTTTATTATACAGATGTATATAACATAGGTTAAAATGAAGTAAATCAACAATCTGACAGTTGTTTCCTCCTCTTAGTAAGATTAGACTAAAATTATAATCATACAAAGATTTTTGAATATGCATTTAATTGAAATAATATGAAAAATAAAGCATACTCAATAATGACTTTAAGATTAAGAGTATATAATAAGTGTAACAAGCTGGACAACATTAGCAGCTAAAAGAAAACCCTGAAGGTCAAAACCTTATTAATTCTAAGCCATGTTTTTCATTATGAGTTAAATTTCTCTATTTTCAATTCATTTTCTTTATAATAAAAGTGGTATAAGAATGGTGAACTTTCTCATTGCAATTGTGGTGAGGAATTTCTAATCAACACTTTACAATGTCAATTGCATTCTCAACATTAATAATGTAAATGGTGCCCATGATAAAACAATTGTCAGTTCCCAAATGAGAGTCAGATTTCTAGTAACCACCATGTAAGAATAAATCATTAAAGAAATTAAGAGCTCATGGCATAAAAAGGCAAAAGGTTCTCATTGTCATTTTTTGTGTTTCTAAAATGAATAAATGACAGCCACTAAAATAAAGAACACAATTGATATTATGCACATAATAAAGTAAAAAAGCAAACATATGCATTCAAGAACTATTTACATTGTCTCAGCAGGGATTCAGGGTTTCTTCTCCTTAGAATTTTAAGGATTTACTATTGTTTTAATTTCATTTTTCATAGATAATATACATAGTTAGAGCCATAATATATGGTTTATGTCTACCCAAATATTTTATAGTTTCCTTATGTTATGACTTAAGATTTTTGACTGCTACTTTTTATTTTCATCAAAGAAAATACAATGATAACTTTATACACAGCTCTTTTGGTTCTCTTCCTCTGCAACTGGTTCAGGGATTCAGATAAAGAATGAAGTTTATATTTTATCTCATCTTTTAAAGTCTTCATAGGGGAATCAGCAGGAAAACAAACTTGAAAATTCATCTAGCTTAATTTTACCATCTGTTTTATTTCTCTCTTCTATTTCCATCCTCTAGTTAATTTTTTAACAATTATTTTCAACAAGCGTGACTTATATGTAAACTCATGCTAAAAGAAGTCAGCTCAAATTAGTATTCCATATGAGTGAAATTTGCATTTGGGATAGGATTTAGAGTTTTAGAATTTTATTTGAAACACCAGTAAATCTCAACAGGATCTCTGTCTCTCTGTCTCTTACACACACATGATTCACATAATTAGGTCTTCCAGGGGCTAGATAGATCAGGTAACCATTTAACCTCAGACTCGATTCAATTATATTCCTTCTAGCTCACACTGAAACAGCAACAGTGGGTTCTTGGACATTCCTAGAGGAACCCAAGCATGCTCCTGCCTCAGAGCCTTTGTCTTGAATATGTTTACAACTATTGCCATCCTGCTTTCCAGATAACAATATAAGTAGTTGTTCAAGAATTTTTATTGCCTATGAGACTATATTATGCCAAAATTCAAGTTCTATGAAGGTAGATATATATGTTTCTTTATACAGTAATAACCTTCCAGAGAAGTCTGCAAAATTCTAGCACTGACAAGTTGTGCCAAATACAACTTGGATGAGAACCTATTTGGAAGGATACTTCTATGTACGACAAACACAGACTCCAAAAACTGACCACCAGGTGACCTCTCTCTTAGTAATGAGGTAGTTGGAGCTAGCTTGACATGGAATTTGGGGGCAGTATATTTGGTGAAAAGTACAAAGAATTATGCACAAATTACCCACCAATAATGTGTTTTATATAAAAAAAATTATAAAAGCAAACCAAAAAGGGGGATTGGATTAGCTTAGTATGTTATGAACACAAAAGATTCTAGTTTACATACATGCACAAAATAAAAAAAAATTATACTATGATCTGCTACCAAAGCCTAAATTGAACAGAAAAGCTAAAACTATCTCCTCTTGGTACAAGAAATGCATTCTAAGCTTCCTAAGATACCTTCTAATTGTACCCTCAATCAGAAAAATGCACTGATATTTCCATTCTTTATCAGTCCTCAGAAACACTTTCTTCAGGGTTAAGGAATGGCTGGGTAGTGCCATAGTCTGTGTTCGATGACACAGACATCTCTGAAAAAGAATAGTCAAGTCAAGTACAAGAAGATTGCTGGAGCAACCAGGTGTGATTGTGCCCCCTAGGGGATCCTTAGCAATGTCCGGAGATATTTCTGCTTACAAATTAGGGTTGGTGTTGCAAGTGGCACCTAGTGGGTAAGAGGCCTGGTTTCCTTCTAAGCATTCTACAATAACATGACAGCCTCCAATGAAGAAATATCAGTTCCAAAATATCTGCATGCTGTGGTTAAGAAAACCTGCCTTAGAGGAAAGTAGGTCATGGACATTGGAAAATAACAAAACTTGTGCATGGAAAGAAAACTATACTTTGTGAAAGTTTAAAGAACCTCAAATTTAAAAAAAAAAGAGAAGCTTCTGTTTCAAAGTAGACCGTAACATAAGGTAGACCCCAGGTTGAGAAGTCTTTGACTAGTTTATGTGGTCCTGCTTCACAGAGTTATGTGTATGTAATTAGTTAAGTCAACTTGCTTTTCTATTATTTTTTCTTCCTTTATTGAGAACAGACTGTGTACATTCATTTCAGAAAGAGAGGTGTATGTAGCTAGGTCATGAGGTCTGCTTCTCAATTCTTCCCTCTGACATACTCACTTATATTAAAGGCGTTTGGATTTGTTCTCCTTATTTGTATTATTGGACATTGACATGAAAAGTTTGGAGAAGTTGTTTTAGGTAGCATGACCTAGTGTGATAGTGAAAGAGAGCTCTTCCTACTTGGTTTTAAAGAGAGGAGGAGGCAGTGGTAAGATTCCAGATTTATTAAACATAAAGTGGCTAAATTAAAAAGTCACTGAACTTCTAGAAATAGCTTTAGTGATGCCATATAATCAGGATCCACTTCAATAATCTCCTGACCCATGTCTTACAGTCAGAAGTAGTTATTCCTCTGCTCCTGTCTTTCATTGACATATTTCTTAATGGTTTTTTGATTCTGCTTCATTAAATGAATTATATATACTGCTCTCGTTCAGGTTCTTGGTAGGGAATTGACTCTGCTTAGAAGTGTTTGGAAGAGAATAACATCTTCACACTAGCATGTGACTCTTTTTCATGTGTATTATGTTATGTCTTAATTTCAATTCTTCAATCTGTTTTAATCATTTGAATCATCATATTGTAAATCAGAAAACTAATGTATGTTTTGACTTAGGAAAACTTTTTTCAAAAAGCACACAAGAATATTGCCTGGATTTCATGTTTAAGCAGTTCTTAAATGATTTTATTATCCCACAATTATTAGTTACAAAAACTGGTAGAAACTTCTTTTATGGCTAAACTCCCATAGTATCATCTGGGTCCTTCTGACTTTTCTTTCACAAACAGCAGGAATAATGAAGCAACAGACATTCTCAAATTGAAGGCTTAATAAAAATTAAGGTTACTGTACAGCTTCTATTATATGTCAGGGATTTTATATACAAAAATTGTACTCAACTGTAGTTCTAGGTCATAGAGTCTAGGACAACAATAGACACACTCAGGGATTAGTATTTATGTCAAAGTCACTTCTATAGGCAATATATAGAACTTAATTAGCATATAATAAATAGTACTTCATAATTCCACATATTTTCTTTTGATCAATTGTAATAATTAGTACCATGTATACAATAAAAAGATTTTAAGTGATGAATATGATTAAAAACTTTTCTCACATCTTCTAAATTTAATTTGGCTTGATAATATTATCCATGTATAAGAGTAAGAATGGAGAGGGTTTTCATTATGTTTCATTATTTATTTGCTTATTTTCAGCAGAATTTTTATATCAAGTGATAAAGTAAACAGCTTTAAGTGTAAGAAGTGACAGCTTAATTCATCTAAATTAATGAATCCCTATGAATGGTTGAAATGCTCATATTTAAAAGAAACAAATATAAACACTTTAAATGCCTTAGGGAAACTAAAGATGACAAATGTCTCTATTAATAATGAAATTAAAGAGTGAATAGTATAAAAACTGCCTTCAGAAATTTTAAAAATTTAAAACTTTGTCTCCTATAATTAAGGAGAAATTGCTGGTGAAGCTATAAAAATTGTTATTAATGTTAATGTCATTCATATTATGTTTTGGATCTTTGAGATGTCATTTTCCCCCCAAGAAGCTCATTAATAAGAGTTAGAGCCATAATATCTCTTATAATATTAAGGCTATAGACCTAAGAAGAGATGTCCAATATAAATGTTAAATAAATTGAAGGTGAACTTTCACAAACCATTTCTGGCAATCCAGAGTATGGTTAACTGAATAATGGTACCACAAATAAACTCATATCTTAATCCCCAGACCCTACTAATGTTATGTGGAAAAAGAGAATGATGATGTAATGAAAACAAGTTTCTTACTATGAGATTTTTATCCTGGATTATTTAGATGGGTCTGAAGTGATTACAAAGGTTTTTGTAAGAGGGCTATGAAAGGAGTCAGAGACAGGAAAGTGATGTGATACAAAAGCAAAGATTGAGGTGATGTGAACCCTGGCTGGCATAGCTCAGTGGATTGAGCACAGGCTGCAAACCAGGCATCACAGGTTCAACTCCTCGTCAGGGCACATGCCTAGGTTGCAGGCCATGGCCCCCAGCAACTGCACATTGATGTCTCTCTCTCTCTCTCTCTCTCTCTCTCTCTCTCTCTCTCTCTCTCTCTCTCTCTCTCTCTCTCTCCCCCCCTTCCCTCTCTAAAAATAAATAAATAAAATCTTAAAAAAAAGATTGGGGTGATGTTCTTTCAAGATGTAGGAAGTGTCCATAAGTTAAGGGATACATGTAGAAGCTGAAAAAGGCAAAGAAAATCAATTCTCCTGAGAGCCTCCAGAAGCAACCTGAACTCTTGAACTCTTTACTTAAGCCTCCTGAACTCTTTACTTTATCCCAGTAGGAGTGATTTCAGACTTCTGAATTCAAGAAACACACACACACACACACACACACACACACACACACACACAAGGAATGTTTTAAACTATAAGAATATGAGTAATTGCAGCAGTAAAAGAAAACACATACACAGAGATTTCGGGAAATTATATTTTTAATACAAAAATACATTTTCTGACTTAAATGATTAGAGAAGCTCTCTAACTGAACACATAAATTTGATGATAAGAATGGTGTTTGTTCCTCTTTAAAAAATATTCATGAAACACAAAAAGAAGTTACTTTAGATTTACACTTAGTGACCATTTCCAGTTTGAGTGTTAAGGCCATCTGTACTAATTGACATAGGTGCATTAGGACAGGCCTGAAAAAAGAAAAGCAGCAAAATGATTGCTTGGTTCTGTATCTAAGAAGGAATAGTCTCATCATTCAATGATTAAAATTCCCCATTTACTTGAAAATGGTGGACATATTATGGTGGGTCCATTTGTCACTTACTTAGGGAAGCATCACCCATGTTTATAAAGTAAAATCTGGTCCTTTAACATTTTGCTCTCCCATTACTCACTCAGACAGGAATTGCCCCTGCTGATGCCATATCCTAAATGTGTAAATGACTTACTAATTTATCATCCCCACAAGATACATTGGAGAAAAGAGGTTTTACCAGTTACTTGGTTTGGTATAACAGGCATTGAACTAGATTTGGTTTAGACATTGGGCACAGTTGTCCTGTGCCCAAAAACTGCTGTCCTTCCCAAAATGGATATCTAATTTTATTAATTGCAATCTACATTTTTCTGATGTTGTCATTAACAATTTGTAAATGAATGTTTTCACCTGGTCCCCTAAGAGACCAGCTGAAGGCATTTATAAAAATGAAGCAATGCACATTGCAAAGAGAGAACCACATATAATTTATTATATAGCCAGCATCTTGATTACAGATATAATCACAGGAATTAAAGAGTCCCATGGATTAACTAATTTTCCTTCTTCTTCTGGTGAAATCTTTTGTCAGGTATCTTTATGCAAAATGTCTCTATCCTTTGCTCTTAATCTCTAAGGTGTCTTTGCTTACTTATTTATGCCATATCATTCGTTGTTCCCATTGAAAGTAAGTTTATTAAAAATCTACCTTATGGAAACTGTACCCTAGACACACATTGCTGTACAAGACAGACCATGATCCTTTCTCATGCTTTGTAATAGCCACTCAAAGATTAGGTTTGATAATAGTGTCCACTTAGTACAAGGGAGGATTGTTTCCTCAAACTGACAGAGAGAGAGGGAAAGAGAAAGAGGAGAAAAACAAATATTTAAGTATATATTTCAGTATACTTAAATATATGCAAGTATATTTTCTGCCTCCTTTTTGTAGTTCTTCATGGCATTTTTCTACCTAAATCTGTGATTGAACAGAACAGTTTAGCGATTTAGGGATTTAGAGCCACAGGCAGATGGATGGCTTCTACAGAAATGTTGTAGGTCCTGAAAGAGAATAGAAGTAACTGGTGTTATTTTTGTTTGTTTGTTTGCTTGTTTTGTTTTGTTTTGTTTTTGGTTGTATTCAAAATACAATAGCAACAATCAAATTACTCCTGCATCTGTTATGAGAGTTAATATGTCTTTTGCAAGCACTCTGCCTTAACTTTCATAAACTTGCTCCTGGCAATATGCTAATGACTAGAACTTTTTACAATGAGGTGCAAAGTTTAATTATGTAATTGTACCAAACAGCTTGATATACACTATCACTCAGTTAAATTTACATATAAAGACAATTAAAATTACAGATATTTATTGAACAGTAAATACAGAAATTAGGAAAGAAATTAAATCTCAGTTTTAAAAAATTAGATATCCCTTGCCCTGGCTGGCATAGCTCAGTGGATTGAGCGCAGGCTGTGAACCAAAGTGTCCAGGTTCGATTCCTAGCCAGGGTACATGTCTGGGTTGCAGGCCACAGCTGCCAGCAACCGCACATTGATGTTCTCTGTCTCTCTCTCTGTCTCTCTGTCTCTCTGTCTCTCTGTCTCTCTTTCTCTCTCTCTCTCTCTCCCTCCCTTCCCTCTCTAAAAATAAATAAATAAAATCTTTGAAAAAATTAGATATCCCTCCTCTTCTTATGCCTCAAAGTAATAACTAGCCAAGACATATTTTTAATATGCATTCTATCTTTTTAATAATGATGTTAAGAGCTCAGTGGTATCATCCAGAGTGAATGATCTGAATTTTAAAATGACCCTAATTGACCCTTGGAAGCATATCGTCCCCTAATTTCCTCATTAAACTCCTGATATAAAAGGTAAATATGAGAAAGACCTGAAGAAATCATAAAATTACCTACAATCACCCCTGAGAAGGATATCATGGTGAATTTTAATATGTTTAATAGAAGTCCAACATGCTTTCTTTTATGATGGCCTAAAATTAAATCCTTAAACTTATATCTGGCAATGAAGTGGGCCATTTTGGCTCATGACAGATGACCATATTTTAAAGTTTTATTCATTTTGCATGTCAGTACTAATAATTTAGCAAATCTATAATTGTTTTCTACTTAATGACTAATAGAATTTATATATTACTATTTTTAAATATTTGTCATGTGAGGAAATTTTCTAGTTATTGCTTTAAATAATTTTTAAGTTGAATTATGAATAATTCAGAAAATTTACTTTTAAAAGACTGACTCAATATGTCTACTATGACTTGAAACAAAATGAGTAAATTTAGTCTGAGGAAAATCATGTTACTTCAATGATAATTTATTAAAAGGTATAACCAACAATTTCAGAGATTTATATAGAAAAAATTAGAATTCATATGACATTAATGAAATTACTTAAGAAATAGTTTAAAGAGCTTAAGAAAAATATTCAATAGTTTAGTTGGAAAAAAACTAAGACTTAAGTTTCTACATGTAAAAACTGAAATCAATTAGGTATAAAGATTGATTATGCAAAAATGATACCAGAAAATCATATGACTTTTTTGGATAAAGATTTAGTTTCATATATATTTTTAAAGATGAACATAAAATTTAATACAATATTTTACTTAAATATTTAGTTTAATTGCAGAATGATAACTACAGATGAGTTGAAGTAATTTAAGAAAATGCCACAATAATTCAATTTGTATTAAAACAGATGAATGTTTAACTATTAAACTAATTTTTTAATTACTTATGCAAGTAAAAAAGGGTATTTAAGTCACTCTTAGCCTGATTTAGCCTTTCTGGGACAGCAATGTTATTAAATATCTGTGACCATACCATGAAAAACAACACTAATTATACTTAGGTATTTGATCCGTTTTGAATTAATTTTTGCGTATAGTGATGAATAGTGGTCAGGTTCCTTTTTTTTTTTTTTTTTTTTTTGCATGTGGCTATCCAATTTTCCAAGCACCATTTATTAAATAGATGTTCTTTCCTCAATTGTATGCTTGTGATTCATTTGTCAAAAATTATTTCCATATATACAGCTGTGTTTATTTCTGGAATCTCAATTCTTTTCCATTGGTATTTCTGTTTTATTTATTTTTATTTTTTTATTGTTCAAGTACAGTTGTCTCCATTTTCCTGCCACCATTTTCCCCTGACCAACCACCCCCAACTCCCACCCTCAATCCTTCCCCCATTTGGCTTCATCCATGTGTTCTTTACACAGGTACCATATCATAGTGTTTTGATTACTATAGCTTTGTAGTATAGTTTAAAATCAAGAACTGTTTTTCTTTCAGCTATGTTATTCTTTTTCAGGGTTACTTTGGTTATTTGGGGTCTTTTGTTTTCCATACATATTTTAGAAATATTTTTTTGATTACAGTAAAAAACATCATTGAAATCTTGATATAAATTGCATTGAATCTATAAATGGCTTTGGGTAGTATGGACATTTAATATTAATTGTTCCAATTCATGAACACAGGATGTTTTTCAATTATTTTTTCTTCTTCAAGTTATTTTATCAAGGTTTTAAGAGTTTTCAATGTACAGATCTTTCATCCCCTTGGTTAGATTAATTCTTAAGTATTTTTAATGCTATTAAAAATGAAATTTTCTTTATTTTTTAAGGAAATTCATTGTCAATGTATAGAAACACAATCAAGTTCTGCATGTTGATTTTGTATTCTGTACATGTACTGATTTCAATATTATTTGGAACAGTTTTTGTTTTTTTTGTGTGGAGTCTTTAGGCTTTTCCATATAAAAGATCATGTCATCTGCAAACAGAGAAAATTTTCTTTCTTTCTTTTTAAATGGAATATCTTTTTTCTTGTCTAATTGAGCTGACTAGGATTTACAGTTGTCTGCTGAATAAGAGTAGTGACAGTGGACACCTTTGTTTTGTTCCTGATCTTACAGGAGAATCTGTTCACCTTTTTACCATTGAGTATGATGTTAGCTATGTGCTGGTAATATATGGCCTTTATTATTTTATGGTTCATTCTTTGTAGTCCCCAATTGCTAAGAGTTTTTACCATGAATGGATGTTGAATTTTCTCAAATGCTTTTTATGAACTTATTAAGATGATCATATGATTGTATCTTTCATTTTATTAATGTGGCATATCACACGTATTGATTTATATACACAGGACAATTTTTATATCCCAAGGTTAAATCTCACTTTATCATAATATATGATCTTTAATGTGCTATTGAATTTGCTTAGCTAATTTTTTGTGGAAAATTTTTACATTTGTATTTATCAGGGATATTGGTCTGTGTCAGAGTAATACTGACCTTATTTTATTTTTTTTTGTAAGAGTTTGAAAAGATTGGTGTTAGGTCATTAAATATTTCAAGGAATTCACCAGTAAAATTTTCTGGACCTGGAAATATATTTATTAGGAGGTTTTTTGACTATTGACTCAATCCCCTTATCTTTTTTTTTTGTTCAGATTTCTTAATTTCTTTGTGATTTAGTGTTATCCAATTGTATATTTCTAGGAACTTATTCAGTTCTTCTAGGTTATTAAATTTATGTGCACTTATTCATAGTAGTCTCATGATATTTCTATTTGTTCAGTTTAAGCTGAAATATCTAATTTTTCATGTATAATTTATTTGCATCATCTTTTTCATTTTTAGATTCACCTCACTAAAATTCATCAATATTGTTTAACCTTTTCAAATAACCAAATCTTAGTTTTGTTAATCTTTTCTGTTACTTTCCTATTCTCCATTTCATTTATTTCTGCTCTAATCTATTATTTCTTCCCTTCTCCTAAATTTGTTCTTTCACATTTTCTAGTTTCTTGAGGTACAAAGTTTGTTTAATTGAGATATTTCTTTCTCCTTGATGTTCATATTCATCTCTATATACTTTCCTCTTAGAATTGCTTTTGTTGCATCCTATACATTCTATAAAGCATTGCTTTGTTTCTATTTTCACTTGTGTTAAGATATATTTAATTTCTCTTTGATTTTTGTCTTTGATCCATCAGTTCTTCATTAGTTTGTTTTTTAACTTTTGTATATTTGTGGATTTTTTGGCTTTTCTTGTTATTTACTTCTACTTTCACACCACTGTGATAAAAAATACACTTAATATAATTTTTTTCTTGACTTCATTGACTTTGTTTATGGCACATGACATGACCTAAAAAATGTCCATGTCTGCTTTGGAAAATTATATGTTGTAATTCCATTGGATAAATGTGTTCTGTATGTCTATTAATATTATTTGGTTTATAGTTTTGTTCAAAACTGTTGTTTCCTTCTTGATTCTCTGAACTGATCTATTCCTTACTGTGAGTAGGGTATTAAAGTCCTCAAATAGTATTACATTGCTATTCATTTATCCTTTTAATAGTCTAGGCATTTACTTTAGTTATTAAGATGCTCCAAATTTAAATACAAATTACAAATGTTATATCTTCTTGATGGATTGACCCTTTTATTATTATACCCTATCTTGGTCTTTTTTGACTATTTTTCTTAACTATGTTTTGTCTGATATAAGGATAGCTATCCCTGCTATCTTTTGTTTTCCTATTGATTAAAATACATTTTCCATTTTTTTGCTCTCAGTCTATATGTGTTCTTCAAACTTAATTGAGTCTTAATTGAATATTTTTTTTCTGTGTGGATTCATCACTGCTTTTTCAAAAATTATTGTTTTCTAACTAGGTAAAATAAGATATTTTACAAATAAGTAAAATGTTAATTATTAGTACTAACTCAAGAATGATAAGTGAAAATAGCCTTGGTTGGTGTAGCTCAGGGGATTGAACATGGACCTAGGAACCATAGGGCCACTGGTTCGATTCCCAGTCAGGGTGCATGGGCTGCAGGCCAGGTCCCCAGTAGTGGGTGCATAAGAGGCAACCACACATTGATGTTTCTCTCCCTTTCTTTCTCCCTTCCTTCCTCTCTCTAAAAAAATAAATAAATAAAAGTTAAAAAAAAAGATGAGTAAAAATAAATGACAGTGTAAAGGGGGTGTCAGAAAAACAATAAAACTTCAGATTTATAAGATTTTGTACCTCATATTCTTAGTGAAAATACTAGTTTTGTCAATCAATTAACACACTTGCACCAGTACTACTTTTACTTAAGAGTAAAGAAGAAACAATGATAAAGTAAAAGATGATGACACTTGAATCTTAAGTATATAGATTTATATTCTAGCCCTGTAAAGACTGAAGTATATAAAATTAAGAAAAGAAAAAAGAACCTCATAACTGTCATCTTTTTATCTAATAGAGTGTAATATGACTAAACCTATTAAGGAACAGAGTATAATATGACTAATTCTTTCAAAGCTGTTGAAAACTCACATGAAAAAAATTAAAGAAAATAATATTTTTTAACTCATCTGAACAATGATAAAGTGTGTATGTGTACACACACACACACATATGTTAAAATGGCATCTCCTCACAAACACATACACAGGCAGAAAGAGGGGTGGGATTTGAGAGGGGAGAGAGAAAGAGAGAGATGAGGTATCCCTTATTCCTGTTTTTAATATCTTCATTATATAAAAGAAAATATTTCTACATATGTAATACAGTTTCTAAAAATGAATAATTGCTTAAAATGACTATAAATAGAATCATTATTGAATAAATGTTGCAATGATAGGTATAGGCAGTGATTTAGGGATAGTTTCTTTGAGAGAGAGTTTAAGATGCTTAACACAGCATGAGAAGCATATTATCTAAAATATATCATTTCTTGTCTCAGAAATGAGGCTGTTAAAATAAGAACTAATCATCTAGAGTTTTTTAAAGTTCTTTTTTATACTATCCTTCAAAATTGATTTTCCCTTATAAAAAAGAAAACCCTTACGGAAAGCATCCTCAAACACATTCAGCATGTGACATGTTAAATCAGGGTAATAAATTTGTTATGAATATGTATTTTGTGTCAAATAAAAGTCACAGAATGTTGGTGCTGAAAAATTCACTCCTTTTGGATGTAACACATACTGACATGTGATATAAGAAATAAATTGCTTTTCTTTTTATGGACAAATTTCTAGATTTTCTTACTTGTTTTTACTGTCATTGTGGAACTAGCTCATCATTGTCTTAATTTCACTGCTTGCTTACCAAATGTATGCTCTCAAATGCTTATTGAAATTCAAAGTTTAGTTTGTTAATATGTAACACTGTTCAAGGAAAACTGTATGAATTTGTGGTCAACTTAATACATAATTTTCCATAAAAATATCATTTCATGATTAATAGTTTAACATTATTCACCATAGGACATTTGTTTCTTGGGAATATTGTCTGGATATATGATTCTCTCAATAAACTAGAATGAATAAAAAGTAAAACTAATCAATACAAAGAATAATGCTATATTTTCATGATTTCTCTTTTTCCTTGGCTGCAAAAATGCTTAGAGCTATTTAAAGATGAGGTTTTAGTTTACTTGTTACTCTTTCATCTTGCTATTTTACTTTATTCATGTTTTATTAACCTGCTTTAAAGGTTATATTGTACTTCACATTTCTTATTGTTGCTGTGGAGTGTAGGGATGTGTCTGAATTTTCATGTGAACACACTAGTCATAAATAGAGGTCAGATTCAGAAATAGATCTGCATTGTATAACTTCTGTATATGGTCTAATGGAATAAACTGCTTCTAACATGCAGGTTTTAAGTCAATGGCAATTTAGTGGTATTGCCATAATTTATAAATGGTAATAAGAGCTTCAATTTCCCATCCTAAATAACCGCCTGCAAATCCAAACTGTCTTAAGCCAGGATACCTTCAGACTCCTCATTCAAGATAAGGCAGTATAATAACAGACAAATGGTTTTGACTTCTCTTGAAGTCAAAAGGGAGGGACTTTTCTTTTAATTCAGAAAAACTCAGAAACCTGTTTTGTCTCCAAGTAAGATTCAAAGTAGCAGCATGAGCACCACCACACCACTGTGAGCAGGGGCTAACGTAATTCCTGTCACGTTGCCTTGAATCTATCACCATTGGTCAGCACCTACTTGGTACTGTTCCATGTCCCCCAGAGTTGCTAGAGAATATATGAAGTCTTGTTTCTCAGTGGATTCCTTACTCCTGAGGATGCCAGACAAAATTAAGGGCTGGGTATCTTTGGTGCAGCTGCCTCTGATTTTCTTAGTTTAAAACACATACCCATAAACAAAACAATGCAAAACAAACAAATCCTAAGAGATGACTCTTAAACTGAGGTGTTTCGGGTCCTTTGGTTTGGTTTGAAGGGAAGAGATGACTCTATAGGTTTCTGTCATAACATTCTATTTTGATAAATTTATTTTGTGCAGTCATAAACTCAAATATGTTACACCTTATATTTATCTCAAAAATTAAACAAATCATGTAAGACACAATGTTCACTGACAGTGAAGATTAGTTGATGCCATTAGAAAAACTGAAATTCTAAGTTTTAGTATAAAAGTTACAGGTTAACGCTCCTGGTAACCTTGAGACTTAAAAAAAAATTATAGAAATGTACTCTTTGTAGTCATTCAATATAATGAAATAATGTTTTTTCTGATTATTTCTAATCTTTAGTAGTTGATTCCAGTTAGCTATATGGTTATTTATTAATTAACACACAGACTTTAACTCCTACTCTGTGTATCCACTAAGAAATTGCATTGTGAATCCAGATAGAAGGTTACGACTTCAAACAATTAGAATGAAGTTTAAATAGTGCAGTAATTGCATTAAAGGAAATGTCAGATGTTAGTGACTCCTTGTGCCCCATGACTCAGCTGTGCTTCCCTCTGTCAAATTTGTGAAGAATTTGCTCATTGGAAAATCAGAGAAGCAGAAATTATTTTCAAGTGTGCTCTAAACAGAATATGTAACCCTGCTCCATGTCCAGAGCGTAAAAGTATCTTATTGGTTTATTTCATCCTAAGACCTCAGGAGAGTAACCTGTATTTAAAATTAATGATGGCTTAAGCATGACTTGAAGTTATTTAAATGTAATTAAGTTTAATTGTGGGTATAACGAGTCATCAATTCAGTTTTTGAAAATAATAAAGATTACTATAGATGTATCATCTTGTTAGAAAATATGACCTGATTACATTCAAATATTAATTTAAATTTTAAATACTAACAAATTCAAATAGTACCTTGGCATTTCATTGTACTAATCCTACTGGGTCATACATGTTTCAGGTAGTGTGTCTGATAATTTATAGCACAGTTACTTTTGATTAAAAAAATTATAGCTCAATGAACAGAAGACTGTAGACTATAGTTATAGATTATAGAAGTGTAGAAGTATAGTACAGATTGCAGTAAGGTATTTATTATTTCTCATTATTTTTCTAGGATGTATGCACAAGAAATTCATGTTGGTTTCTGAAGAATATTTGCTTAATTTATCTGTACCCCTGCTACTGTGGATCTATCAGCCATGATATTTGCCAAGCAGAAGTTCCTTATTCTTCTCAATTTAAATATATATGGCAATTGGGATTTATAGGTAATAAAATATTATTTATTATTTTTATTTGCATTAATCACTTTAACATTTACAAAGTAAGTATTCATGTTCCAATCACACAAAATATTTTTATCTCAAAATATGAAAGAAAGAAAGAAAGAAATTTAATATTCTTATTCTCTGATTTGTTCCCTTAATAGACACATGCTTAGCACCTACTACAGTTTAGGAATTCTGCTTGTCTCAAGATCTATAGGGTGAGGCAAAAGTGGGTTTACAGTTCTTTTATGGAAATAAAATATACTAGTTAATAAATAATGATACAAGAATAAACCCTGTGTTTTGTGTACCCACAACTGTAAACCTATTTTCACCCTACCCTATGTAATCATGAAGAAAACTAGAACTATTCCATACTCTCATGGATCTATTTTTTAGGAGGGGGATTATTGGTCAAATACAGTGATAAAGATATAATTGCAAATTGAAGTAAAAATGCTCCTACAGGAAGAGATCCTGCCATGACTGCTTGTGAGTAAAAAAAAAATAGTTTCAGGAAAGAAAGAGAGAAAGAGAGAGAGAGAGAGAGGAAGGAAGAAAGAAGAAAGGAAGAGAGAGAGAGGAAGGAAGGAAGGAAGGAAGGAAGGAAGGAAGGAAGGAAGGAAGGGAGGGAGGGAGGGAGGGAGGAAGAAAAGAAAGAAAAGAAAGAAAAAGAGAGAGAGAAAGGAAGGAAGGAAGGAAGGAAGGAAGGAAGAAAAGAAAGACAAGAAAAGAAGAAAGAGAGAAAGAAAGAAAAAGAAACAATTGGGAAAGTAAGTTGGGAGGTCAGATAAGGTTTCCATGATAAAATGACCCTTGAACAGAGATTTGGAGGATAAGGCCAATGTAGAGGAATGGGAGAAGTGAGGGAATTAAACTTTGTGTGTTTGAGTGCATGTTTAAAAAATACAAAGTTTCAGTTATGCAAGTTAAATAAGTTTTGAGAATGAACTGTATAACATAGGCCTATGATTAATATTGTGCTAGATAAGCCAGGCAGTGAAAGACAAATACCATATGATCTCACCTTTAGGTGGAACCTAATCAACAAAACAAACAAACAAGCAAAACATAACCAGAGACATTGAAATAAGGAACAAACTGACAGTAACCAGAAGGGAGGTGGAAGAGGATAATGGAGGGAAAAGGGGGAAGGGTTGTTAGGAACATGTATAAAGGACACATGGACAAAACCAAGGGGGAGCTGAGATTGAGGGTGGGAGGTGGGGATAGCTGGGGTTGGGGTTGTGGTGCGGGAAAGATAGAGACAACTATACTTGAACAACAATAAAAAATAAAATAAAAAAATAAAAAATGCTAATGGGATAGATCTTACGTTTTTTCCTCTTAAAACAAAAGAAAAAATACTTAAAACAAACAAAGGAACCACAGATTTTGGGAAGAATTTTTGGAGATGATAAATAATGTTTTATATTCATTGTGACTATACTTCATGGGTGAATACCTCTCTCCAAACATTTCAAGTTGCATATATTCAACATCAACAACTTTTTGTATATTAATCATACCTCCAATAGAGTAGGTGGAAAAAAAAATACAAAACTAAAGAGATGAATTCTTTGAAGGCCTGGCTAGAACTTTGAGGACAAGAGTAAAAATAAAATCTCAGGAGAGGGCAATGTTACAATTAAAATGTTGGTTTAAATATTTATATTTTATTCTAAAAGGAATATGAAGTCATTGTAGAGTTTGACACATTTTTTAAAAGATCAAGTGGAGAAATATATAGGAGAGGCAGGAACGTTAGAGAGTCAGTGGTGATCACGTTGTGAGACTATGGGAGTCCTCATTCATGAATTGTATACAGAGAGCAAGGGATAGAGATGTCAATAGGAATTCCAGGTTTTTGGCTTAACACTTAAAATGAAATAATTCTCATACATATTTTATTAAATATATATTTTAATTGTTTTATAATCTGGCAGTTCCTATTTTCAAAATCTATTTTGATGAGCATAATTTTCTGTCCTTTGCTTACACTTTGAATACTCTTTTATTTAGCTTATGCAAATTAATCCATATTCTTAAAAATGTGTGGTACTCCAATTAATTCTGTCAAAGAATATTTCCTCTGTCAATGATAGTTTGGCATTACAGTTTATCAACAATCAGCAAATTAGTAGGTTTGATACATGTGTTCTCAAATAATGGCTTATTGTATTCAACTGGCAGCACCTGCACTTACAAGACTACTATTACATTACAACAGGAAGTAAACTAACAGTCTTTTAAAAAGACACGATAATTTATTTCATCACGCTCATAAAATGGTATTTGGGAGAGTTAACAACCCCTAATGACAGAAATAGTTATTGGTTCATTAAGCAAATCACACAAGACCAAATGTGGTAGAAGAAAGCAATGGCTTGTTGATTACATTGTTAGTGATAATAAAGAACTTCAGAGACAGTGTTATTACTCTTTCACAAATGACACGAACAAAACAAACAAGAACTACAGTTAGGAAAGTTACCTAAAACATCTGGTCTCAGGGACTATTTAGTGATTGTGTTAGCTTCATGGTTTTAAAACTTGGCCACATATTACAATCACCTGAGGAGCTTTTAATGGTTTTTACTGTTTGACTTCCAAAACAGAACAATCAAACTGGAATTGTAGTGAGGTAGACACAAGAGATCTGTAAAATCTCCCCAAATGCTTTCAATGTGCAGATTGAGAAACATGATATATTCTTACCAGCCAAATCAGTTCAGGGACTTCAGGGACAATATTATTTTTATTCTTGATTTCCATTTATCTCAAAGTAGGAATAATGTCTGTATACATTTACTTAATGGTAAGCATTAAAATTCTTTCAGAACTAAAAATGGCTAAAGATAACATAGTCACAACAATAAAATTGTAAATGTATTTTTTAGGAAAAATAGGAGTAAATAGAATAAATTAATGAATAAATTATCTCTAAGCAGATAGAGTTAATTTCATGAATGACAGTAATATAACAAATATAATTCCTAGGACATGGGCATAATATGAAGTCAAAATTGCTCATGGAAAAATCAGCTTACAGCAAATAGCATCAAAGTCATATAACCATATTTAGTAAATATAAGTTCATGAATCTATGTTCAGACATTAATAAACATAACTAATTATTACAAAAATAAGAATTATGTGACCTCCATATCTGAGATTCTAAAGGACTTGGCTGTCCAAGCAAAAAAAGTCAGTGTAATACAGCTTAATAGTCAACAAATATTTAAGTAGAGCCATCCACATTGTTTTTTAATGTCAATACAAAGACTCAACACTGTACCCACTTTCACTAGTGTTAAAAAAAACAGATTTAGGATAAGTGAAAAAAGCAAAGGAATATGTAAATAGAATGACTCACTTTATGTAATTCTCATTTTTTCCGGTTGTTTCTGTTAAGATCTTATTTCCTTTTTTTCATAAAATATCATTGAAGAGAAACATTAAAATCAAGCTGGTAAGTTTGCATGCGGTGCATTAATTTTATCAGCAGTAAAATAATTTTAATTAAGAGAATTTTCTACCAACTAAATGAAGTGTCTCACACGCCCAATCAATTCTTGCCAATATGATTGCTCTACAAAAAGGGATGGTAATTAATTAGAAGCAGCCCCTTCAAGGACAATTGGTCTACAGTGCACAACTTGAGAAAGAGCTGACATGCACTGTTTCTTTTCAATGTCATCATCTATGTTCATTATATGTATTATTAGGTTTGAGAAAGGAAGATACTGACAGAGTGGATAATGAGTTGTAAAATGAAATAAGATATGAATTATAGTTAAGAAAAACAAAATCATAGCAAAAAAGAGTTAAGTTCTCTTTTAATACCTTTCTTTTATTTAAAGTTTACGATCATTACATTTTTCTTGACTAAATTAAACATATACATTTAAACATTTCATATGTGCCAGTGAACTTGTTTTCTAAATGAACAGTGATTACTGCATTTATGAATTATATTGTAAACCAATATTACTTTTAATTTTCTTTTTAAAAATGAAATTGTGGGTAATACTTTTGCTAGAAGATAGTATAAGATATTAATTATAATGTATTCATTAAAATTACCTTTGAAATTTTATAATAATTGTGAGAGTAGAAAATCCCACATCCCCAAATCAATACTTTTATCAAAAGTATTTTTGTTTTTTAAAAAAATATTTTGTTGTTATTCTATTACAGATAACCCAATTTTTTCCTCTTTGCCCTCCTCTGCCCATCCTAACCCCGCTCCCACAGTCAATCCCCACACTGTTGTCCATGTCTGTGGGTCATTCACACATGTTCTTTGGATAAATCCCTTCCCTTCCTTCTACCCTCTTTTCCCCTCCTCCCACCCACTCTGGCCACTATCAGTCTGTTTCTTGTTGTCATACCTCTGGTCTTATTTTGCACCTTAGTTTATTTTGTTCATTAAGCAAAAGTACTTTTTTACAATACTGCTATACTTTGAAGTCTTCTTTCATTAATACTAGGTATTATTTTTCTATCTATTTAGAAGTTAAGGGCCTAACTTCAAGGTTAAAAAAAATTGAGTTTAGAAGAAAAGTTTTAAAATGTATATTCATTTTTTACTCTCTACACATAATAATGTCTTCAAATATTTTTACAGTAACAAAATTTTGTTAATATACTAAATGGAAATAAATTGCTTTTATATATAGATAAGAACTAATTAAATGACATAATGGAAACAAAAATTCATGAAAATAGCAGTTTGGTTAGAATATTATAATGCTGAGGACTCACACTAACAAATACATATAAATTCTAAATTGAAAAGACTTTATTGCCACAGTATAGTTACAAAAAATTTGAAAAAAGTTCTCAAGATAAACCATGCTGTCTGAGAGAAGATATATTAAAAATTTCTAATCTCCATATTATTACATATATTTATTAAGATTTTAATAAAATAACAGGAGTGACTTTATGCTTCTTTTTATTGTCTACATGGAAAATTAAATAAAATAACACAAGGTATACTCAAAAATTGCATTGTGTGGGTACATGAGGTAGAATTTAGCTCTAATAGATGGTAAAGCATATTATATAGATTCATTAATGAAAAACCTGGTACCTGCATTGATAATCCAAAATATGCAAAATGCAAAGTTCAAAACCAAATCTAAATCATGAAGAAAGTATTCATATGACAGAATTGCCATCTCAGTCACTAGAGAAAATAGGGACTATCCAATAATTGATGTCAAACAACTGGATAGTCATCTGGAGAGAAAAGTCAGATTTGTATCTTACAACATACTCTAAGTTAAATTCATATTAAATAAAAGTCTCAAATATAAAAATTTTTAAAGATTAAAAATTATCAGAGAAATGTTACAGAATTACTGTATAAATTAGAATTGAGAAGGTCTTTATAGCTTTTTAAAAATTTAGATATCAGAAAGAAAAGATTTGTCATTTGACTGCAAGAAAAATGTCTGATGGTAAAAAGATGTCATGGAAGTCATCAAACAGCAAAAGAGAACTACAGAATGAATGGAAAGTACTTCTAGATAGATGAGAAAATGCTCAGCTTTACTCATAATGAGAGTAAAGAAAATTTTTTTAATCATAAATATATAATCTTTTATGAGTCTGGTAAAAACATTGAGACTTTGACAACTTGGTGATTTTATCCATTGAAAGCACAATGTAACCTCACTCTACTATCTGAGCAGGGCAATATTATAAATGTATATACTGTTTGACCTAGATTTCCCATCACATGTACTTACCATTCACATGCTGAGTAATATATGTACAACATTACACATGGTATCATTGGTTATTTGAGCAAAAGAATAAACACAGATGCACATATGATTGTGGAATATTGCCACTATATCAGTAGTCGCAATATTCCACAATCATATGTCATATATGTCATATATATATATATATATATAATATGATATATCATACATATGATAAAGGGAAAAGAAAAGGAAAGCATGAAATAATATAGAATCACATGGAATAAGCTATCTTTTAATTATTCATATTCAACTCGTGATTATCTCTCTGAAAGGCTTTTTCTATGTTTTTTGCCCTAGAGTTCTAAAATACCACTCTGTTGGGATTTTCAGGGATTATATTTAATTTTTAAATTCAGTTAGGTTATTGATATATAACATTATGGGAGTTTCAGATATACAATAATATGATTCTATGTTAGTAAATATTATAAAGTGATTACTATGGTAATTGTAATTAATAATAACCACTTCTTTTCAGCTTTTAAAAGTATTAAAAATATGTTCTCACTATTATCTTCCCTTGCATTATCTCTGTGGGTTAAAGCACTTTTTAATACTTCTTTTTGAGGCTTTGGGAGGAAGGGGCAATAATATGTCAGTGAAATTGAAATGTTTAGTCACATGCATTATTATGAACAAAGTCATAAATAGGTCAAATTTGAGAAAATGGATAAATTCCTATAAAAATACCAGTTGGCAAACCGATTCAATAATAAATATAAAATTTAAATCATCCTATAAGTTCATAAGTCACTGAATAATATACTTTTAATAACCATTCAAGAAAAAACAGACCAGTGAAAATATATGGTTTTCAATCCAAGTTCTTCCAAATATTCAACAAAGAGTTAAGTCTAGTACAACTTTAACTCCTCCAGAAAACAGAGAAACATTCATCAATCAATTATATAAGGCTGGAATTCCATATTTGAATTATTTTCTCTCATCACATCAAAGATATAATTTTTATTGATATTAAATTTAATGATATTTTCTTTTCTTTGGTCTCATTTATAATAGTTTCATTCACTGATTAGTTTATTACCAATCTAGAAATAATTTTCTATGCTTTTAAGATTTTAAGCAGTTAAATTACACTGGTAATTTAGGTAATAAGGTTGAAAAGGTTTGGAACATTTTATGCATGGCTTCCTAGCTTTTTCCTTCATTTTTGGAGTGATATTTGAGATTTCTAAATGAGGTCTGAGCACAGCAGGAAGAGTTCAGCTTATAAACCATCTCTACTTTACAATTCAGTTGTAAGTTGCATAGCTTATACGGTATTTTCAGGAAGTCATGCTTCACAAACCACAGATTTTAGGTTTGTTAATCATAAGCTATACTGAAATAGGCATATTAGCTATAGGATTCTGAGGATAAATAATATCTCCCTACAAAATATAATTTTTTTTTACTTGGATGTTTATTTATGTTTAGGTTTCTTTCATTACCTATAATATTACATCCATTAATGAAAGATGATAGGTCCTCAGTTCAGCTTAATTAGATCCCTTATCCCGACAATTCTGGGATTTCCATTTGATTTTGTATTTTTTTTAAGTTTCCAAATTTTTCACTCTCTATGTTCTTGTCTGTTTAACAATTATATTCATATTTCTCTATAGATATTTCAACACATTTATCTAGATACAGTGTTTGTGCAATAATTCTAAGTTTATACCATCTGTATGTCTGTTTTGCCAAGATTTCCTCTTGAATATAAGTCTTATTCTTTTGCTTTTTTGCAGTCTTATTTTTTATTGTATCACAGATGTACTTAACATTAGAGTGTGAAGTAGGTAAATTATATATGTATATGTATATGTATACATATGTGTATCTGTGTCTCTACCTACACATACTCACAAACACATATTTCCTTCCTTCACTTCTTCCTGTGAGAAAATGAAAATGAAGTCCTGATTATTTTTATTTCTTTTTGTTTTCAACACTTAAGAAAATTATTGACTGATTTTTAAAGAGAGAGAGATATTTTTATTGTTCCACTTATTTATGCATCATTCATTGGTTGCTTCTTATATATGTCCTGCATGGGAATCAAACCTGCAACATTGGCATATCAGGGCAATGATCTAACCAACTGAGCTACCCAGCTAGGCCTGATTATTTTTCTATCACAAATATTTTAAGGAACTCTTTTCATATGTGTTTTGAAATGGTTCCTACCTATACAACTATAATATATATAAGGGTATTTTTATAAAATACATTGCTTATAGTTATTACATTATTTTCAATCATTACCTAGAAATTTATTTGACATTTCATTATTTTTAAAAAAATGGATTGGCCTGAATGCTTGATCTTGTTCTAATGCTTTATTTCTCAGGCTATTTTTAAAATGAAAGGATTGGGCGTTATTCTATTTTATATCTTTCATATTTAGTAGCTGTAGATAAAGAACCTAATTTTGTGATAGGTGTTGTCAAATTGATCTTACCAGGTAATTTAACAACTGTCTTTAGTAATTCTATGTGAGTTCAATCTTATGAGAAGTTATTTTTAATCTCTTTGAAAGTATTTGAAGGTGAAAAATATGAAGTGACTACTGATGCTTACTTCTTTCATGCTGAAAATTGCACTGATGATGCAGTCTACATGAACAAATCTGAAGACCTTGATTACCTACATTTGTTCCAATGTGAAGAGACAATGGAGGTAGGTAAATATATTTTCTAGTTTTTCATATTCCTATTTAACTCATAATTGTCTAATTTGAAAAAATGTTAGAAATGTTAAGTTTACAAATTCAAGGTTCAAGATATACATAGCTTAAATAGAACTTCATAAAAAAATCTCAACAAACTGCTTGGAAATCTTTTTTATTTGTTAGATTTATAATTTAGAAAGGTAATGAAGAGTTTTAACAATCATTTTATTTCTAGTCTTTTTGTATCCTATTCATGTCATAATTTGCTGACTGAATACAGCCTCTCAGACACAGCTGTGATTATGCCACCTTTTTGTTTATATGTCATAAAAACTACCATTGTCTTTTGGGACATATTTAAATCTCTGGAAGAATTCTAATGCTGTGCAATTTTACCACTAACAATCATTAGGCCTAGTGCAAGAATACAGAGCGGCCTTCTTTTTCCCCTCTGACCCTCATCTTGTACACATTAGGGCAATAATTTCAAACAAATAAATATAAGAAACAAACACTTTAGGATATTTATTTTAAATAAATAAGGAATAGTTTGTCAAAATAATTCAGGATTTTCTCAAATAGTGTAGAGAGTTAACAGAATATTTATAATTTCTCTTTTCTGAACATAACCTCATTTGGTTAATTTATAGAAACCAAAGCATATCTTAATTTTATGTTTGGCATGTCATTCATGTAAAAATTTAAATAAAGATGTATTATGAATCTTTATAAATAAAGATCTTTATAAAGATCTATATAAATAAAGATTCATTATAAATAATTTCATTAACATTAAGCCAGTTTTATTAAAAAATACTATTTACTTCAAAGTTGACCAAGTTGAGAGGAATTACAAATATAGGCAGATTTCAAATTCCTCAGAATTTTTAATTTCACATATGCCCTCAAATATATTTTTTACTATTTTTTTAAAATGTATAAACATGTGTATTATGCTTAATATACTTTGACATATATGCATTTAGCCAATGACACGTAAAACACTATGCACATAGATGACTAAAGGTTTTACTTTGGGATATACTTAAGTTTATCAACATAGTAAAGAACATTATATATTATATTAAAATTACTAATTAAGTAATTGTATATTTTCTCATACAGCACAAGTAAGCAAATTTTATCTTGTAAACATATCAGTATACCTTTGTATTCTTTTAAATAATCACCAATTTTAAAGAAAATAGCACTTTTTTGTATTCAAGAAAACAGAAAGACAGAAATCTAATAGTGTTTTAGCTATTTCATATTTTCATAATCCCCCATTTTATATAACTTTATATCTTTTATGTTAAGCAAAATAATCATAAATATGCATATATCAATACAAACATAAATATACAGGTGTGGGACGAAGTAGGTTTACGTTGTTTGTATGGAAAATAATATAATAATTATTTAATAAAAATATAAGAATGAATTCTGTTTCACATACAACTGTAAATGTACTATTGTCTACTACTGTGCATCAATTAATTCTATTTGCAGACCTTAATTTTCTTTCTATAAGAAATAGAGGCAGTTTTAAACTATATGTATACACTAATATTTGTTTATGTTTATTAAAAATAGTTCAGTTTTAAGAAATAATTTATTAATTCATCTTAAAGCAGTGTAGGTCTTGATATTGATCAAAGATTTGGAAATTGAAATTTACATCATCATGTTAAATCCTTATGATTTGTAGTATTGTAACAGGGTGCAGCCAAGAGGGGGTCCCCAAATAGGGATTTGGAATGGGGTCCAGAACTCAAGGTGTCCAGGAAATATTAGAAAGATATATAGGATGTCCTCCCCCCTCCCCTCACAGGTGTGAGTTGGGGGAAGGGACACATGGAGCAGGAACATGCAGAGCTGTTTTGTACAGCAATGGCTTTGCAGCTAACCTCTGGCATGGTCATTTAACATATCTATAACCTTTAGCTGGTTGCGTAGATATGTTAAATAGCTGTGGCTATGCTCTGACGGGGGGGGGGGGGGGGGTGATGGAAGTGACTTCCACCCAAGATGTAACTGGGAGGCAGCTCCCCCTGGTTACAGCACCTGCCTGAGAGCTTGGAGAAGATTGGCTCCATGACATGGGGCCACACCTGCCCAGACTCATGATGGCAGCCCAGTAAACTTAGAATAATACAGGAATGCTGGTAGATGTAACTGATTGCAGGAGGAATTGGAAATGGGGGTACAGAGGAAGATTGGCGTGGGGATTTTAACCCAATCTCATCAGCCATGAGAGAGAGAACCACATGGTTTTAACAGAGTGGGGACCCCTACAGCTTTGGCAAGAATAAGGGCCACGTGGCTTTGGGGTACCCCCTTTTGTCACATGGCTTAGGAAGCAGGAGAGGCTTTGCCTGGAAGAAAAGAGGTGAAAGAACTCTTGTTGGTGGGCCATGAGAAGGTGTCACACACCATTGGATTAACTGGAGATCCTGGCAGCATCACAGCTGATGGTGCTGAGGGCCTGAATCAGGGACTTTGACTTCTTTTCCTAAGATACAATACTCAGATTAGGGCAGAGGGAAAAGGAAGGACTGTGTGTGTCTGTGGGTATCCTAAAGGATTTTAATATTTTAATGAAAGCATTAGGTCACTACTTTAAGTCTGTATAGCTTTAAATAAATATTTCCTTTCCTTTTCACAAATCTCTGGCATTGAGAGACATCTTTCCTCTGGTGGCGGGCAGAGCAAACCTAGTGTGGGGTCCTTTCAGTAATAGTATATTGTATCCCCACTTAGCCCTGTTCTGTAACAGTATCATCAATAAAACATCCTAGTTCATCAGTATAATTGAATCAATAAATTCACAAGATTAAAACCTTTTAAATTATATCAATTATTAAAATGTCAATTATTTTACTTCATATTTTTAAAATCATTAACCACCTGAAAAACTATAACAGAATAGTTCTTTCAAGGTTAATTTTAATAATGCTTACTTGCATAAAGAGTAATTTTTTAAATTGGGAAATTACATAAGCTCTTTTTAATAGAAGTAAATGCTTATGTTCAAATATTTTTTTAAAAAAATCAAAACTTTTAAGTGTATGACAAAAATCTAGAGACCTAATTTTCTATTTATCTAGAAGACTAATTACATTACCCATTCACATTTTCTGCTTTGCTGAATTTTTGGAAAAATAAAAACAGAAATAAAGCACAATCATTTTCCTTTTCCTTGTATTTTGGCTTCCCAAACAGTAGTCCTGTTACAGAACACAACAAGGGGGGCCTGGGACGATATACTATTATTGAAAGAAGGCCCCGGGTCCGTTATGTCCGCCGCTCGAGGAAAGACGTCTCTCAATGCCAGAGATTCGTGAAAAGGAAAGGAAATGTTTATTCAATGCTATACTAACTTAAAGTAGTGACCTAATGTCTTTATCAAAAATCCTAAAGTCCCTAAAAACACCCACAAACACACACAGTCCTTCCTTCCTTCCCCCTTTGCCCAGTCCAGAGTACTGTATCTCAGGAAAGGAAATAGAAGTCCATGGCTCAGGCAGTCCTCTGGTTCTTAGTTAGTCCTCCATCTCAACTGGGAGACCTCCCTGGGTTCCCGGCACCCTCGGCTGAGTCGCCGAGATCTCTGCTAAAACCAGGTGGTGGTTCCCCCTTCTAAAGCTGTGGGGGTCCCCACTCTGGCACAGGCACGTGGTCATCTCTCCCAGGGCCACGGGAGTCTCCACTCTGTCAAGGCCGCATGGTTCTCCTCCTCTGGGACGCGGGAGTCTCTACTCTGCTTAAGACGCGTGGTTCCCCCTACTCAGGGCTGCGGGAAGGGAGAGTCCCCACTCTGTCCAAAGCCACGTGGTTCCCCCTCAATGGCTGCCGTGTCTGGGTTTAAATCCCCTGAGCCAATCTTCTTCTGCAGCCCCATTTCCGACTCCTCCTACACTTGGGCACACTTGCCCTCAATCTGCTGTCTTCTCCAGCTTTTCTGGTCGCCATCGTGGGTCTGGGCAGGTGTCACCCCATGTCATGGAGCCAATCTTCTCCCAGCTCCCACGCAGGCACTGTAACTCAGGGGACCTGCCCCCCAGTCACATCTTGGGGGGGAGATCCCTTTCCATCCCCCTGGCCTTGAGCATGGCCATAGCTATTTAGCATATCTAAGTGACCAGCCAAAGGCTGTAGGTATGCTAAATGACCATGCCATGGATTAGCTGCAAAGCTGCCCTGCATGTTCTTGCTCTGTGTGCCCCTTCCCCCAACTCACACCTGTGGGGGAAGGGGTGAAGACACCTTAAAATCTCCTGGACACCTTGAGTTCTGGACCCCATTTCAAATGCCTATTTGGGGTCCCCCCTCTTGGCTGCACCCTGTAACAGTCCTACATTATACATATAATGATAGAAAAAATATTATTAACTTTTATACCTTCCCAGACAAAAAATATAGAAAAATGAAGAAATGAAAGAGACTTAGTTCCAAGCAGATGTAAAATCATGAAAGTTGAAAGTTAATTATCTCCTCACTGCAAAGTGTAATACAGTCTTAACTGCAGAAAATCTTATTTTTACAAACACACCCACCCACCCAGAAAAAACAAGCTATTAACATGGAGAATCTAAACAATAACTCACAAATTGACAATTAAGTAGAACCGCATAATTACAAATCTAGTGCTTCTTAACCCTAGAGGTATGAAAATGAAAGAGGGATTCCTGTATATTAAACACTATTAGACACACAGACAAACTGTCCTCATGAGAGTTTTTCTTTTTCTGTTTTAATACATCTGTCAAACGAACAACCCTGCTTATGTTAAAACTTCCCTGGAGTAGCCACTACAATTTTATATTGTCCTTTGAGAAATTATAGCAATTATAGAAATGTGTACATGACTTACAACATGAAGGAAGGAATGAGTGATGTCAAAGCCTGTGAGGTAGAGAGGACCGCATGAAAACTTCTACAGGTGTTTGTGTAATGTCATGTCTTGTGTCAAAGAGCAGTCAATATCAACTAGGAGCCTGGCAAAAGTGTGCACTAGATTTTGAAAAGATGACTAAAAAAAATTTGTCCAAGAAATGCAGCCTGATGTCACCATCTGAACTCACTCTTCACTTAGGTCAGCTGGATGATAGAGTTTTAAGACCTATGCTTGCCCTATCCTAGCAGACCTCCTCTTATAGGATCACCAGAGAAGTGAAGTCGACAGAGATTTCTTGTCTCTCTAGATTCAACTAGCTCACATAATCAAATACTTCTTAAATTATTTTCTTATTCTTAGGAAAACTAACTAAACTTAGCAATTGGGGATTTGATGAAAAGACCCTGGAGTTCAGACCTGATACTATACATATATCATGATCATGGTTGGAAAGAAGCATATCTAATGGTCTCATAAGTGGGGCACTGTTTGCAGTCTGAGGTCCTCAGGTTTGGTAGTAAGGGCATCTTAACTGAATCTTTACATAAATGTGTTTTGGTTCATGGTTGACCCTCCAAAAGACTAGTAGAGATTCCATTGATTAAGAAAATGATTCTCTTAGATTAATACAATAAAGGAAAACAGCACCTTAACAGAATCTTACTAATGTCTCAGAAGGGAGCAGGATGGGAAGATAATCAGAGCCTTGGTTGGCAGGAGGTGGGGATTACTGCTAAGGATTGATCAGAATTTATAAATAAAGCTTTGCTATAGTGGATACAATGTGATGGTAATCTTAAAGTGAATTTGATGAGTAAGTTGCTAGTCTTGATAAATTATTTTAGTTAGTTCCCAGTTTACCTTTAGGAGCAAGTATTTCATGTAGCAAAAAGTAAGTTATTTTTTTGCTGTTTCTCAGTATTGTTTTTAATATAAGAAAAAAAGTTAGGTTTATTTCAGTTTTCATCATCAAAGACTGAACATTCAAAAGTATAATTTCTTTTCTCTTGCTAAAAAAAAAATTAAAAATTTACTCTTGAGAGCTTTCGTAAAAGAGTGGGTGTATTGAGCCATATGGCAGCAAGTAAGGAGACCAGGTGCTGGGGGCATACCACCAGCAATGGGGTTAATGGGGAAGACAACATATCCACTGACCTGGAGCTGACAGCTCTCTTGTATGTTATGTTTTGGGGAAGAAAGATGTAAGTTGTTTTGGAAGAATTTACATTGGTTATAGACAAGGGAGTAGGAAAATGTAATGCTCAGGTGGTTTTAGGTACACGGTCCTAGGAAATACACAGAAGAAATATTTTCTACTTTTGATTGGTTGTGGGGGACTGTTTGGAAGTTCATGCACAAGCAGGATGCATGCCTGTCTGGTGATGGGCTGCTTCTTGTCAGGGGGCCACTTAGAAGTTGATTGAGCTACAACATACTTTCAGGAATGTGAGCTATCTTTCACAGTTGTCTCTGTGAAAGACTTCTATCTACTTCTAATTACGTCTGTCTCTTTCTCTTATTCTCTGGACCATTATAATTTAGTTTAGGATAATTCAGAATTTTTCTCTTGTCACTGTGTGTTAACAGTGCCCTGTCTTCAGTTACTAGGAGTGGAGGATGTTTTTAAAATAACACGGAAGAGACAAAGAGACACTAGAAGTTGGAATGGGAAAGACCTCTACCAAATTTTACCTATTTTGATACTTTTGGGTAGTTCCAAGCAAGCATAAATTTGAACTTTAAGTCATCTCAATATACAGTCAGTCATGAGCCCCATAATGATGGATGGCGGCCCCATAAAAGTATAATAGAGCTGAAAAGTTTCTATCATCTAGTGACCTTAGCCATTGAAAAGTCTTAGTGAAACACATACACACACTTACCCTAGCATAACAGTTACCCAAAGCATTTAGTACAGTCATCTGCTGTATATATTTGTAACAGGAGCTGTAGGAAGACAGAATTTGTCATTCCCATGTCTCTGTCATAAGGAATTGTTTTAGACTCATTAATTGAGGGAAACAGGACATGGGAGAAGTCCTGAAAATCAAGTACAAGTGACCCTTGGTAAAAGAGGTTTACATTTGTAAGGGAAACCTCCATTTGTTTCTCCCTGGCTGCCTGAGGTAGAGGGGTTGACCTTATATCTAGAAACTCCTATGGATGCATAGGACAAAGACATAAATCTGCATAACAACCTTCCCTTGTTTATTGTACTTTTCCTGGTAACCTTCTAATTGGCTCCACCCATCCCAATATCTTCTTTTGTCTTCAAGCTAAAGATGACATTTAAGGTGATGGGTCTAGCCATGTTGGTGAGTTTTGCAGTTTTCCTTGGTTTCTCCCATGTATATAGAATGTATATATGTTATTAAACTTCTGTTTATTTGTCCTGTTAATTATCTTTTATGCCAGGGATGTCTCAGCCAAGAACCCAAAAGTGTACAGGGAAAATTAATTTTCTTCCCTTATAGCCTAGGTTAGTAGTAAGCTATGCCATCTAGGTTTGTGTAATGGCCCTCTATGATGTTTTCACAGCTAGGAAATAGCCCAATGATGCATTTCTCAGAACATATTTCTGCCATTGAGTGGTACATAACTCTATTTTTATTTAGCTAAGAATATGAAAGAGATATTCTTAATGTTTCCCTTGCCATGACTAAACTTTAGATAAATTTCTGTTCCACTCTAAACCCCAACCTCTTTTTTCTTAGAGAATTTACTATAGAAAACATTCAATTGTAAATTCTTTCTCTGCCTTTTGAAATGTATGGAAATCTTCTCTCAGATTCTTGGCAGGTTTAAACTCAGGGACCTGTGAACCACCTCTTTGAAATGTAAATACTGAAGGAGATAGCACCCCTGGCTCTTAGTCCCACCCCGTGACAGGGGTGCCAATTAGCAAACACAGAAGGCCTGTTCTCAGAGCACAATCTTTGCAAACTCAGGAATAATTCAATGTACCTTACACATCTTATTGATCAATCTCTCCCACAGCTTTGTACAGAACTTTTTACTAGCTCGTGATGGCACTTAAAAAACCCTCCTGTCTTTGTTTCAGCAATACTGGTTTCACCTCTATTGCAATAACCTTGAATAGTCTTCCCTGACTTTTTAGCTTTGTCTGGTGCAATTTTATTCTAACACTTTGCTAAGAATCCATGTTTCTACATATCATCTCATGACTAATTTGCAATTTTGGTGTTTTGTATTTTCTAGTTATGTTGAAGGTGCAGAATGTATATATTGGATTTTTAATATAGTATTTTTGAATAATTGGAACATTTTGTTAAAGTTTGTAGATTATGAAATATATTATTAGGTCAAAGTTGATTTCCTAAATTTGATAACTTCACTGAAGTAGTATAATATTCTTTTTTTTTAAATACACACTAAAGTAAATGGGGATAAAGTGTGATACATCCACAAATTTCATAAAACAAATATAATATGTATTTATATGTATTTACATATGTATAAAGAGAGAATAATAAAACACTATCATAAAATGTAGACATTTGTTGCTTCCTATGAAAGTGCTTACTTACTAAGGCAATTACAGCATTGCTCTTTTAATTTAAGAAACTTTACAATAAATACCTTTTGCATGTAAGAAATGATTACATGCTTAAACACTGAGGGATAAAGAATTTTCTGAGCTACAGACACACAGACATACAGACAAACATGTACATAGCTTATAGATTCAATTATAATATTTTAGCCATGGGTTAAGAGTAAATAACATTTGAAAAAAGAACTCATCTGCCCATGTGAAAGAACTGCTCTAATTTCTAACGGATTTCAAATTCTTGATTGACTTGACCACCAAATAGCAAAATGGAAAAACAAATTCTCAGTTAACTTTCACCCATCAGAGGCTAACTAGAACTCTATAAATCATTAATCTATCATCAAAGGATCAGACCATGAAACCAAATTTCTAATCACTGTTGTCACTGATGGCAAATCAAATTTTGGGTATAAGTAAACCAAAACCCAAAAGAAAATGTGAAAGTATCAGAAGGAAAGCAATGAGTTATCAAAGTTCTACAGATGTTTTAAATTCATTTCTGAGACCTAAGAAAAGATATGCCTGGGTTTAAGCTTTCTACAACAGGTGTGCTTCTCTGGTGACAAAGAATTAATTCCATGGGTAAATCCATTGGGCATAACTATGGAAGACTTGCAGAATAGTAAAACTAATATTTTTTAAAAGGTATAATTATTTTTTGATTCTTATAAAGATAAAATTATGACTTTCATGCAAATATAAAACAAATGTGTTAAAATCTTTATTTAATTACTTTTTAATATGGGATTCAGTAAAATGTTATATTCAGTTCACAGGTGAATTCAAATAACTTTCTGTAGAAGTAAATATGTTTAGTGATACAGGATACAGATTTTCTGTGGATCTGGGCCTGAACATAATGTTATTTCCACCATATCAATGAACATATAAGCAGTACTTATAAAAATATGATTAACAAAACATTTTAAAATATTTTTAAAACAATTGTTTATGATGGATATTTAGTTAGCCTTATATGATTTACATATTTCTTTCATAATTTGAGTGCCATGAATGACACATGACTATATTTTTATTTGATTTATGAATTTGACATAAATCAAAACTGAATTTATTTCATCTTTGCTAAATGAACACAATAATTTAATAGATAATGGAAAGCATGAAATTCAAAATTTGAAATGATTGTAATATTATAATGTATGATAGAGATATAAAATATTCTCATTTCTTGTTTTTATAGATGTGTGCAAATGGATGCAGCTGTTTGACTGAGGAAGATAGTAAGGACTATTTTTGTCTGTGTATTCCCAGAAGGCCTAGAAAAATGAATCAGGAAAATACAACTGACTATCAAGAAAGTGGGTGTCTACCTAAAGCTGTTCATGATGAATATAATATACCCAGGTATTTATGCACTATTTCAGCAAAGGGTACCTCTTATTTATGAAAAAGTTAATTGTACTGAGGAGCTATAATTGAATTATTTTATAATATTTAATAATTTTGTTCAACATATTAGGAGTTTTATGTTAAATATATAGCTATATAGTTATAAAGTATGTTATATCATGTATAATAATTTGAGCAAAATATAGTTGGAAAAGACATAGACTTATTGGGCAATAAATTATCTGTATAATTCTAAACTTAAGTTAGTACTTGTGGTAAATAAATTGTGCTAGATTCTCATATATTAAGATGTATATAGTAAGCCCCAGAGCAACTATTAAGAAAATAACTTACCTAATATGGTAAAAATAACCTCACAGATATTAAAATTTTGCTCTAGAAATATTTAATTAATATAAAAGAATGCATTATTAGAATACTATAGGTCCGAAAAAGACACGAGTCGTAGGAAAACAAAAAAGAAAATAGACATAAACTCAACTATACTAATAATAACATTAAATTCAAATAGATTAAATATTTAATAAAAAAGATTTTTTAGACTGTATAATTTCTGGATATAGATAGGTGTAAACCATCTACAGAAGACACCTTCTACATTTAAATGTACAATTAGGTTAGGAGTAAAAGATTAAGAAAAGATATAAATATCTTTCAAATAGTAACCATAGAGAGCTGGACGTTCTATATTAATATCAAACAAGATAGACTTTAAAAGAAAAAAAATGATTACTAGGGAAAACAGACTTCATTTTGTAATGAGAAAAGAGCCAACCCATCAGAAGATGTGGCAATTATAAACATACGTGCCAAACACCAAAGACCCAAAATAGATGAAACAAAAATGTTAGAATTGTTTGTCTGAGGTATCACTGGCAAATGTTTTTTCATAACTCACATAACTCCACTCCAGGAAGACAGACAACCCAATTAAAAAATGGACAGAGGGCTTGAACAGACACTTCTCTGAGGAGGACATACAGAGGGCCCAGAGACATATGAAAGGATGCTCAGTGTAACTAGCCATCAGAGAGATGCAAATTAAAACTACAATGAGATACCATATCACACCAATGAGAATGGCCATCATAAGCAAATTGACAAGCAAGTGTTGGAGAGGTTGTGGAGAAAAGTGAACCCTAGTACATTGTGGGTAGGAATGCAGACTGATACAACCACTGTGGAAAATGGTATGGAATTTCCTCAGAAAACTAAAAATGGAACTGTCTTTTGACCCAGCAATTCCACTGCTGGGATTATAACCAAAGAACTCTGAAACACCAATCTAAAAGAACCTATGTACCCCAATGTTCATAGCAGCACAATTTACAATAGCCAAATGATGGAAGCAACCTAAGTGCTCATCTGGAAATGGGTGCATCAAAAAACTCTGGTACATTTACATAATGGAATACTATGCAGCAGAGAGAAAGAAGGAACTCCTACCCTTCATGACAGCATGGATGGAACTTGAGAGCATTATGCTAAGTGAAATAAGACAGGCGATGAGGGACTATTACCATGTGATCTCACCTTTAACTGTAACAGAATAAACAAAACGAACAAGCAAGCAAAATATAACCAGAGGCACTGAAATTAAGAACAATCTGAGAGTAACCAGAGGGGAGTTGGGGGGGCTAATAAAGGGAAGGGTTTTGATGAACGACTATAAAGGACACATGAACAAAACCAAGGTAGGGGGTGGAAGCAAGGGAGCAAGGTATGTTTGGCTGAGGTCAGAGGGGAGTGGTGAGGAGTAAATGCAGACAACTGTAATTGGAAAACAATAAAATAATTTTAAAAAACATGTTAGAATTGAAGGGGAAAATAGTCAATTGAATTATTATACTTTAAGACCCAGATACCCTACTTCCAATAGTGGATATAACCCTTTGCAGAAGATTAACAAATATGTAGAAGATATGAACAATGCTATATACTAACTAAAACTAGCAGATAGCTCTACACTACCACAGATAGCTATAGAACACTCCATTCAGCATCAGACTGGCATTTTTTTCAAATGCACATCAACATTTTCCATATAGTCCATATGCTTAAAAAGCTGCAATATAATAAAAAGTATGTTTTTGACCACAAGGAATATGATTAAAAATCAAAAAAATAAAGCAATTTGGTATATTCACAAATATGTGCAATTAACATAATTCACATAAACCAATAAATCAAAAAGAAATGACAAAGACAATTAGAACACCATTTGAGGTTAATTAAAATGAAGATACAACATGTCAAAACTCACGGAATATAGGTTATAACAGTCCTTATAATAAAAATTACAGCTACAAATGCCTATGTTAAAAAACAAGGAAGATCTCAATCAATATCCTAAATTTTCACCTTAGCACATGCAACACATTGGAGATTTCACCTAAAGCCAGCCAAGGGAAGGAAATCATACACTGTCATGTGAAATTACTTAGAGTATAAATAATAAAGAATGTTGTAAAACCAAAAGTCTATCCTTTGAAAAAAATAACAAAACAAGTAGAACTTACCAATACTATGAAAAAACAGAGAGAAAAATCAAATTTCTAAAATCAGGAATGAGAGAGAACATTATTACAGAAATTGAAGGAAGAAAAAGGATTATTAGAAAATACCAGAGACAACTGTGTTTCCAGATATCTATGATGAAATGGGTACATTCCCAGAAAAATACAAATGACATAAGGTGACTGAAGAAAAAATAGAAAATCTGAATATATCTATTACAATTAAATATATTAAATTACTATTTAACAAACAAATAAATAAGTATTCACACTAAGAAACATCTGTACCTGAATGGCATTACTAGCAAATACTAACAAACATTTATAGCAGAATTAATGGAAATTATTTGCAAACTCTTTCAAAAATAAATGAGGAGAGAACATTTCTCAACTCATTCTGTGAGGCCAGTATTGCAAGAATAATGAAGCCAAAAATACCACAAGAAAATTGCAAACCAATATAGCTTATTAGTCTGAACATAAAAACCCTCAATGCAATTACAGCATAACAAACCCAGCACCTAAAAGGATTACATATTATGACCATGTGGGATATATCACAGGAATACAAGGTTGGTTTAACATCCTAAAATCAATATATGTAATATATTATATCAATGGAATATAAGGAAAAAACCACACAATGATTTCAATAGATGCATGGAATAAAATCATTTGGCAAGAATCCAATACTCTTTCATGATAGAAATAATCAGCAAATGAAGAATACAATGGACCTTTCTCAACCTGAATAAAAATATTTAAATTAAAACAAAGAGAAAAAATAACATTACAGTTAATCATAAAAAAATAAAAATACAGATGAAAACAATTAGATAAAACTTTATATCCACATATAGATAAAAAAAGTTAATATCTATTGGCATTGGTGAGAATTTGTAGAAATTGGAACCCTCACACAAGACTGGTGAAATGTAAAATGTTGCATTCAGGTGTTTTAAAAATAGAGTGTCTGTTACTTCAAAAATTTACATATAGACTTTTCATAACCCACTAATTCTATTTCTAGTATATACTCAAGAAAAATGAAAATATATGTTCACATGTTCACACAAAAATACTAATGTTTATAGTTTTATTTATAGTAGTCAAAAAAACTAAACCCAAATGTTTGTCAACTGATGATGAATAGGTAAATAAAATTTATTATATTCACACAGTAGAATATTATTCATCAATAACAAAAAATCAATTATTAATATATGCCACAACATAAAAGAATCTATAAAACATTTTGCTATGGGAAGAATGACAGTCACAAATGATGCATGTAGTAGAAGTCAATAAATATTTGTTTAATTCACAATGATTTTTTAGGATATTTTTGTTTACTAAAATAATATTCCTTTGGTCTGTGGTATAACTGTTACACCTGACTGTGTTTCTTTCTTTGTTTATGGTAACTTTTCTTTGATTTTCAGAAATTCTTGGAATTTTTGTAGTTAAAATTATCAATTCATTATGGCTTCTTGACATTGTCTCAATTAATATTTAAACTAGAGCCTAGTAAAGTTAGGCAATACCAGCAGTTCATATAAAATTGTTTCTCTATGTCAATCACAATATCTGGAAATTATTATATATCATCTTCTATAATAACAAAAGAAATGCAAATCTTAGAATTCATTTGCAAAAAGTGCTCAGGATCTCTATAAAAAACTTTATTACCTTATTAACCTCAATTAAAAATAAAAAATAATAGACATTCTGACTACATTAAAATATAATCCATGCATTTAGCTATGATGCTTTAATCTGGCCAAGATACCTTTTTTTCAATAATTCACACATTGAATGCTATACCAAAAATATTGCATTTTATTTTAGAAATGAATCAACATGTTCTAAAAATTACAAAAAGATAATAATTTATAAAGAACTAAGTTATCTTTTTAAATAAAAAATAATGGGATGGGAGTTCATGTACCATCTAGTATGACAACTACAGAGCTCATATGGTGCCACTGTCAAAATAACTAACAGAGAGCTTTGAGAAAAACTCATGTACATATGAAATCTTGATATATGAGATATTTGTCCATAATTTAATAAAAGTATTTGGGTTTCTCTAGTAGTTGATACCAGGGAAACAATTTGACTTATAATTAAAAAGCAAAATTAAAATGTAACTAAAAGAAATGTTGTAAAATATCTCTGGTTTTGGAATAGAGAACTTTTAAAACTAAGCTAACAAGGTATAATAACATAAAGTTAAACAATGATAATGCTGTAATAATATTGAATTCAACAATTTCTTCTGAATGGAAGCCACTAACAACAGTAATAACAACATTAACAGTTGATAATTAATGCATAAACATTTTTCTATTGAAGTACTTTCTATGATTGTAGCTTAAAGTACATAACATACATGAAGTATTTTACAAAGGTTTGAGTTCTATTATTGCATATTTGTCTTAAATGTTCAAAAACATTTCTGAAGAATTGGAATAACTT